AACACTCATGGCTCTTACACTTTGAGCCCTTTGTATTGACTGTTTCCCAAGGGATAATTTTCTCCATTCCCCTCTCCCGTAGTCTTTCCTGAGATTCCAGCATTGTTAGCCTGAGATACAACACACAGTGCCTGCAGCACAGGTTCAGGTTCAGGTCTTAAACACAGGCAGAGCTAAGAAGCTCTGAGAGGACTTAATTGTCATTTGGGCCTTCATGTCTGCCACTGGGATGCTCAGCTCCTGCAGATGTACTTGCACCAGGAGCTCTCTCCTAAGCAGCCAGGCACACTTTGCTTTAGAGCAAAGAAATCTCAGACCTTTGCATTCAGCTCTTCATTTTTCTCCCTTGTTTCCTCAACAGTCTCTTCAACAACTTTTGAAGTCCAGGGTTTGTTTTCCTCCATTGGACATGAGCTAGCTTTTTGATGTATGAAGTAGCTTGCTAAAAGATACCTGAGTAAAATACACATTATATATTTGCCTTTGGGAAGCAAACAAACAGAGCTCCATCTCTTACTTCAATGCATCTTCAATACCAACAGTTTATTGAATATATTAAACTAAGCTAATGGTTTCCCCTTGTCTTCTGAAACATCTCACAGAGGCCTGGGACAATTCACTCTGGAGATTTAGTGGTTTCAATGCAGTTATTTCTAACTTTCACTGGAAAGCAGAAGTCTCCCTGATGTGGCAGTCAAATATGAATAAGTCATTTTTGTGCTCTTTGAATATAATAGTTTGTGCTTCTCCCACAGCCCCACACTGCCTCTTACTGTCCTCTACAACCTCCACTTTTAATAGGCTTTGCTTGCTGTTTTTACATTACTCAGTTCTTCTGTTTCACATAAATCATAACTTCAAATAAAGAAAAATATCTTCAATTTCCAGTCAGCTCCACAGATAGAAGTAAATGGTCTGCAAGGCTTTATTTTTCATCATTTCTAAATGTGTTTTGGAAGGTCATAGGACCCATGAGCACTTAATGGCTGTTTTTCCTGAGAAAGGATTACAAAATCCAAGCCTTTAGCTTCAGAAGCAATATGAAAGCAATTAGCACATTTTCAGAGGTGTCTAAAGTAATAAAAATATTACAAGTTCAGGACTTGTGTTTTTGGCTTTTATTCTTAGCATTGGACATTACTTTCAAACCAGTTATAGCACCATGCTCTCTCTCTCTCTATATATATATATAAAAGATATTTCCTTTCCTATCAGTCTATTTCATCTTCAAAATGATGTTACATACTGACAATCTACAATTCCTTCTACAATTCTGCATTTTTGATCACAGTTGGTTCACTTAAGAGTTTTTGTAGCAGGTAATAGATATTGGTTTGAATCACAGAAAAATACAAAGCAATTGGTACTGAAGACTGAGTCTTCGGACCCAGTGTGTAAGGACTCCACTAAAATTAGGAGACTTATTCTCTAAAATCTGTGATTTAGATGGTGGTAACAGGCTGATTTTGGACAGCAGAGGAGTAGAGTCAGATATTGTAACACTGCATAGGAATTAGGCTTTCCGAAGTCTATTATTTTCATAAGGGATCAAAAAGCTTCAGGAATTCCCAGCAGGAGTTATCAATGATAATGCAGAAGGGGTTCATATTAGTGATATGAGTCAGTCAGGGCTCTCTTGGGTGTTTGCAGCTTCTTTCTAAATCCAGATTGGTCCAACAGAGAAATATTTATGCAGTACAGTTAAAGGCGGCTATTGCACCATGCAGGAGATGAGCAATTATCCACCTTCTCAAATTTTACCCTGTCAGTATTTTACACTAGTGGACTAGGAAAGAGACAGGTTTTGCCAGAGTAGAAATGAATATGCAACAACRCATAGCAGACAAACATTCAGGAACACAGAGTAGCAAATGCTGCGAAGAGGATTTACACTGTACAGTAATTACACTCTGAAGCCTCAGTATGTACTGACTTTACTTGGCATTTAGCCAGCTCAGAGAAGCCTTTCAGATCCCTCAGAAACTGCAGTAGATTAATTTTGTTGATAGTTCAAGGTAGGAATTGATTGGAGTGGAAATCCAGCCCCTGATCTTACCCCACTCAAATTCATGTCAAAAAAAAAAAAAAAAAAAAAAAAAAATTGATTATGATTTCAGAAATAATATTTCTACAATTTTACTGCATTTTTTTCACTTCATTTTGGAGAACAAAAATGTTGATGACAACTGCACAGTAAAGAATTGTGTGAGAGAAAAAAAACGAGATCTTCTCAGACATGGATAGATAAAGAATAATTTTTTTCCTCTTAAGAAACTCTTTTTAACAGAAGCTGTCAAAGTCCTGTGAGACCTGGAAGAGCAGTGATGTGGTACAAAGTCAGGTCTTTCTGTAGCCATGTCCTATGTAGTACATAAGTTATTTGCAAAGGTACAAAGTATTGGCCTAAGTCTGCTTCCCTTAAAGCCAAATTTTAAATCCTCATGATTTTCAAAGAGAAATGCTTAGGTAGGCCCCTTGTTTATGCTCTGCAAACTTCTAGAAATAGCTGCTCCAATAAAATATTATGAATTGCATGCTCTGGTAATGGATATCTACTCTGGAAAGGGTAGGTAAGAAACAGTGGGAAGTGTAGAGGTGCTCTGGGACACAGGAAGTGAGAGCAGACTTGAGGGCACCCGCTGAAGGCAGAGGGAAGAGGGCACATAAAATTTGAGGATCATATGTGGACAGAAAATTTGAGGTCTTGGAAACCTATGGGCTTGACAATGAAGGGTGGGAGAGACTTGAACCTCAGTTAAGATAAACTGAACACAGTGATAGTTCAACTCACTCATGGGGCCAAAAGGTGTATGTAAGGTCCTGCCCCTCTACTCAGCTCTGGTAAGGCCACACCTGGAGTACTGTGTGGTGTGCAGTCCTGGGCTCCCCAGTATAAGAGGGACATGGAGCTTCTAGAGAGGGTCCAGCGGAGATCAACAAAGATGATTAAGGGACTGGAGCATCTCCAGTACGAGGAGAGGCTGAGTGATCTGGGCCTGTTTAGCCTGGAGAAATTTGAGAGGGGGTCTGATGAACATGTACAAATACCTGAGGAGAGAATGTAGGGAGGAAGGGGCCAAACTCTTATCAGTGGTGGGCAGTGATGGGACAAGGGGCAATGAGTATAAGTTGAAACACAGGAAGTTCCATCTCCACGTGAGGAAGAACTTCTTTACTGTGGGGGGTGACAGAGCCCTGGCACAGGCTGCCGAGGGCAGTCTCCTTCTCTGGAGACTTCTTCTCTGGAGATCTTCCAAACCCATCTGGATGCCACCGTGTGCCACGTGCTCTTGGTGTCCCTGCTGGAGCAGGGGGGTTGGATTAGATGGTCTCTAGGGGTCCCTTCCAACCTTAACCATTCTGTGATTCTGTGAAGGCGACAAATACTTGCAAACTATGCTATGCTGGCACTGGCTAATAGCTTGCATAGCTTTATATATCCCATGCAGCTATGATAGAGAATATCCGTTGGTGAGTGATGGAAAATATTAGTACAATGTTGCATGTTATTACAATAACATAACAGAAAAGTATTAGTACAACTTAACACTAAACTTTATGCTTTCTTACACCAGAGAAGCCTAAATATGTTACCATGAAGTGTTGAAAGATTACTTGGCCACTTGGCTTCAAACTGGAAAAAACACCTTGGTCTGACTGAAGCTTGTCAAAGGCTTCAGCAGTCCTTCTCAGAGAATGTTGAAAACATGTTTTCTGTGTTGTTTGTCACTAGTCAGTACATAGTAACATAAAGAGAAATAAGAAAATATCCATTTTAACCTGCTGATTCTTACTTATGATGGCTTTGGCCCACTTTTGATACGTCCAAAGTGAGTGCTGTGCAACATGAATCAGAAAGCAGCTGTAAAGACTCGAGGAAGATTCAAAGTGGAGGGCAATGAAGCAATACCACAAAAACACTAATAATATTTTGCCTGGAGGACTAGCCCACATAAAAAGAGTATTTTGCTTGTATGCATTTAGAAAGCCCACAAACAAAAAGGAATTTGCAGTGGTTGTATCATAGCCTCTAGTGGATACTTATCTGCATCATTGAACCACCAAGCACTCCTAAAATCATGCCCTCTCTGATTACCCATGGATAGTTCTTTGCCTCTGCAGGATATGAGCAATTCTCAGGAAAGTCATCAAAGTCTACATTTCATCTTAATTTTGTACGTTCCTCTACAGCCAGTGAAGAGAGAGGCAGATGGGGCTGTCTGATGCAAAAATGTACCACTGCATGCAGATCACATTACTTATTTACTTTTGGATAAATCACCAACTGCAGGTACTTACCTTTGACTACATAGCAAAAAAAGATTATTTTAGATTAGAAGTCCATCTTTTAAATGGATTAGGAAAGGTGAAGCGATTTCTAATCTTAAAAGTCATTCAAACCTATTGGGTGTGAAATTGCCCAAAGATATCTTGCACAGAAGACATGAAACTGGTAAAATGGATCTATTGCACAGAAAGTAGCTACAAGACCTATTGGTATGGGGGAATCCCACACAATAGTATGGCATAAGATGTTCCCTCCCATGGTTATTTCTTTAATGACTGTATGCACACATGGATGATGGAGACTCAGAGAGCTAGCTGTTCCCATGTAGGAAGAAGGATATATATTTATGGGAGAGTTTGTCTTTTCAATCCAGTATCCCAAAAGAACAAGACTTACACTTCCATATGTGTATGCGTCCATCTCCACTTCTAACAACTACGCCACTGGTCGATTAAAAAAATCAAATAAATAAACCAAAAGAGTAAAAGATCTAGTTTAAATAAAACAAGTAGATTGACAGAAGAATTCCATTGGCAGAAAGACTTCAGCAACAGATCACCACTCACTAATTATCAGAAGATCAAGACAGAGAACATATATTATGAAGGACACACATAGACAGTTTTTTTTTTAATCCACTTTACTAGACAACAGAGAATCCAGCCATAAAACCAGCTCTTTGTCTCTGTAAGCTGTATGATCCAATCGAAAAGGAAGCGATTGTAGGACTTTGTATGAGTCCTATATGTATTCTTGCCTTTAGGTTTAAACACATACCTCCATAGCACATTAACAATTATTTCTTGGAATACAGAAGACAAGGCTGTTTTAGACAGACTAGTGAAGAAGAACTGTTGCTGTTGATAGCAGCCAAATGTCATCTGATCATGCAGAGCCTGCAGCGCAATCTGGTGCATGCATGAGAACACATATTTGTTTCTCAAAAGTCTACTACAGAACCAGCAAGGGACTATTATGAGCAGTGTTTTGAGATAAAGCACTTCCACTATTGGCCTGTAAATTCAATTGGGAATTGAAAACCAGGCTGTATGGTCATGTATCTTTTTCTTCCTGCTGATGGGCCATTTCCAGCAGTTAAAAAAAAAAAGAAGGCTGGAGGAAAACTGTGACTTATGCAAGTCTTGCTTTGCTTTCTTTCCTTCCAAGTAGAATTCTTCTATCCTCACAGAGGTACAGCTCAGAATAATGCTTGATTCTGTGGCTGTGCTCAATGAACAATTCTTTGAACAAAGAATGAACCAAAGCAGTAACTTCCTTTTCCACGGGGCAGCTTGGAGGAGCTCTCCCACTGGTGCTGGTATCACAAGCAGAACTGAAGAAATGCACACACATTTACTCATATCCTTGCAGATAGATTTGTATTTTGCATGGGAGTGTAGTATTCCCAGTGACATTTTCACCCAAAGCCTCACTTTAGCAAGCTCATGTGTTAATAGAGAATTAGAACAAACTTTTCAGCACCAGTAAGGGACCCTGGGAAGGAAGGGAGGGAGGGCCAAGAGCAAATACAGGTGCTGTTAATCTTACCTAGTTGTCTTGAGAAACTGGTACTTCAGAGAAAGATTAAAAAAAAAGATGTTCTAGTTTGAAGAACACATCCTCACAGCCTCATCAAGCATGCAGAGAAGGTCAGAAATCTATGGTAAACAGGCAGAAAAGAGAAAAAAARAAAAAAAAGACATTTTCTCCTACTTTCCATCTCCAAAAGATGACAAAACAACCTAGCCCTTAATTCTCAGTTTATATCCAATATTATATTATCCATTTTGACCAACAGCTGGAAAACTACAAATTATTCAAGAAAGGATTATCTGCTATAAACCCATCAGTAATGTAGAGGTCACTTACCATTTGTTCATGTCTAATCCTTTTAATAGATGTAGTAACAGAAGAAATATTACTGCTGTACATTCAYTTAGCTTAGCAGATATGGTTAGATCGGTCTTCTCCCATAATATGCCTCTGAGACATCTTTGGTATTTAAAGCAACAGTGCAGGAGACTGGAGGAAGAAGAGAGAGAGGCATATCAAGTTTTGCTGCTTCAAGAACATACAACTTAATTAATACCCATTTTGTTTCATGTCAAGGGGACAGATCCAGCCTAAAGAGTGTTCCAATTACAACCCACATTTAAGAAACTCTTTTTCTGTAACAACCCTTTCTTGTTGCAAAGGTCCAGCCTCACCACAGTGTCTTCCTTTTTGTTCAGAGAGGGATAGAATTGACTGTTGCTCCTATTTTCTCCTTGCCCAAGCCAATGCTATAAGGTCAAAGGTAGATATATTTTTCTAGACCTCCAGTCTAATTGGAGCAAGCTCATTAGTCCAAAGATCCAGATCTACAGTTCATGACAGTGGGTAAGGCAGCCCCAGGAGCTATACCCAACCATGCCATAGTCCCTCCGAACAAGGCAGTGAATTTTTTCAACTCAACAAGCTTTATTTTCTCCATTTAAAATGAAGATTGTGGTAACTAATTAGCTTTTTAGAGCTCCTTCCTTGAAAGGCAGATGCTAAACACTTCCACAAACAAATAGGAATAACAGTGAAGTCACAGCTGAGCGGGTATGGCTGGAAGCAGGGCAAAAGAGTCACAAACAAGGAGCATGCAGTAAGAAAGTCTGCAGCTGGGAGAGGGAGGGAGTGTGTGCGAAGAGAAGATAGCTTTTATTTGAAACACATGTGTGCTGGTTAATCAGGGCTGGGACCTGGGATCGGGTGAGAATCTGCAGTTGGGAGAAGGTGGCAGACATAGGGAAATTATTTTTTATTTCAAACAGATGTATTGAAACAACCTTATGTTGATGAAACTCAATAAAGGAGAGACTTAAAGAGGGGGTGTACTGCAATGGAAATTGGTAGCTGGGAGGCAGAAGGGAAAATGATCATTAGTAATAAGTACATGTGATTTCTGCACACGCATGGCAGAGAGGCGAGAGTGGGACTCAGCTGTGGAGCAAGCAGAATGTAAAGTCCCAACCACTGCTGCTGCAGAAAGCAAGAGACCAGCTTGTCCAGAAGGAAGGGAAGGGGGAGTATGAAACAGAGGGGTGTGTGTACATATATATATATATATATATAAAAAAAATAAAAATTACTGACTTCAAATGCAACAGAAGTTTCACCATTAATATATAACACTAAAGAAGCATTCTGAGTCCTTTATCTCTCCCTGCAGCACTTCTGTGCTCTCTTAACATTTATAGCAGGAGATCTGAAAAAGATTCTTGTGTTTTTGTCAAAAACTTCATAATCTTTGCCGTGCAGTGTGAAGATAGAATCTCGCGTCCTCCTCACAATTTTCTTTTTCCTTTTTCTTTAAAGCAATGTGTTAGCTATGTTCCTAATTTGGTTTAAGGTGAGAGCTGTTATCAACTTTGCCTCCCTAGGGAGCCTGCAATCACAAACAGCAAGAGGTTTTGTTTAAAAACATAAACATGTACTACTGTGAGTAAATGAAAAACAAATTCATTATGGGCAAGATCGGACCAGTTTACATAAAACAGCAGAGGAAAATTGGTGAAATCTCTGATTGTTGTGAATAATAATTTCAAAAGCAAATAAATGTTTGGACACTGTGCTCAGTGTCCAGGCTTCCATCACTCTCAATGAAGATCTCATCAGTGTTGTCACTAGAGACCAGGGTGAGATCCATGTTAAAGGTCTTTAGATCTAAATAAAATGAATCTCCCCATTGACCAGGTTGTCATCTGCTTTTCTAAACCATGCTTTAGAAAAAGAGGCTAGAGTGGCTTGCTCGGATGGATGTGCCTGTCTGAATTCAAGAAGCCCTCTTTTCATCAGGACAATCTGAAGCGTTTCTTTTTTCCTACAACAGGTTGTGTAAGAGAGAAGGACCCATGACACTTTAACACATGTTTTTAGKCCCCCAAGCACTCAGATACACAATSAAGGTACAGTAACAAAGAGCACATGCTCTGCCAAAAAACAATGACTTATTAGTTCTAGGAAATTTGCTGTATCCCAAAATGCAACATAAAAATAGCTGTATTTTCAGAAGCTCTCAGGCAGACCTTAGCCTTGAAATTTTCAATCCAGTTGCTGAACCATAACTTGAGCAGCTTTTAATTAAAACTTTGACCCAATAACTGCTGTCTTGTTCTCATGTGTGGGTGGAAAGTGCTAAGCATCTGTATTTCAGATGATTTGTCATTAACCCAGTACAAAGAGGCAACTGGTGTTGCCTGATTCTGGGCTGCACTGAAGTAGGAAATAGCTGTTCTGAACCTCTGGGGTGCAAACTCYCTCTTCCAGGAGTCTGTCCCCAGGAAATGAAGCAAAGGTCCTCCACCACTGCCACAGCTGATTATGCTGAGGAGAAAAGAAACCAGCAGCCACCAAAGTGCCTGATGTTTGCACCCAGCTGTACCAAACCTCTCCAAGGATTTCTTTAGGAGATAAATTTTCTGTCCTTCTGCTTTGGATATCAGAGAGAAACTATGGCTGATGTAAAGAACTAGAATTTGTGTTAGTATTTAGTGCACTTTTCTGAGTTTTTCTTGGCTCTGTATTGCCAGTTGCTAGCATTGCCAGTTTGCAGCAAAAGGCAAAGTAGAAATCCATGGGAAAGAAAACTGAACTAACATCTTGAGAAAAGCTGTTTGCTATCAGCTTCTGCTGGTTTCAATCCACTGCATGACTAGAACAAGGCCATTTTATGCTCTAGGTTTTCCTTTCAAAATCCAGACACAAGGGAAGTGCCTGTCAGAAATCATTAGCATCTTAAACRGGGCTTTCTATAGACAAAGACATTAAGATGTATTTGAAAACACCCATAAACATTTTAAAATTGGGAGAAATGTGCTTTTTCCAATACTTTTTTTGGGCTATAGGAAGGAGAATTTTGTATTGTGTGTTTCTTTTGGGACAGTTTCACTACAAATCATTTGACCAGAAGGAAGCTTCCTTCACTTCTCTAGTGTATAATGAAAGAATACTGAGTTGTGAGTTAAAGATGAAGGTGAAACTCTGGTTCCAGGGAAATTAATGGGAATTCTGCCATTGATTTCAAAGGGGCCACTGCCTCAATCAACATATAAACTTTATTTTGTTCTGCCTTGATCTGAGAGTTACTCTGTAATAGTGCTACATATGAAGTGGATTTTTGTTTCTGTTCTCTGTCCAAAGTAGGAGAGAGGGGTGGGGCAGGAGGAAAATCATTTCCAGTCAAACAAAACCCACTGTTTGTTTTGTTAAAACAATAAAAATTCACAATCCATTTTTGTCACCAGAGGTATTTCTTTTGTCACAATGTATTTTTTAGAACTCTCAAATCTCTCAGACTTCTGTCTCCGTTTATTAAGAAAAAAGTTTTCAAGCAAAAAAAAGAATATAAATACATATGTATATTTTATAGCCAACAAATTGTTTTAGAATTTTCTAAGTCTTCTATCACCCAATGTTTTTCTCCAATCGCACTCACTAAACTTWAAAGGAATTCATTTGAATTATTGAGAAACTCTTTCCTAGAAAGGGAAAAAAAATCAGATCTACTGAAGATTTCAAGCTACCCAGGCCTGCAGAGAGAATTTATATTACCTTTGAAAGAATCAATCGTTAAATTAAAATTTCCCTACCTGGTAGTGAATTGGAGCTGTATTCTACGGGATATCTTCAATGTTCTTTACCTTTGTGTGTGTGTGTGTGTAAGCAAGCCACAGGTAGTATGGCCCAAAATTTAGTTGCAAATGACAGAATGAAGTATATTCAAGATCCTGATGTCTCTAGTTCTGAAAATGTTGTTACCTTTTATTGCTTGAAAAACAACTGTTAAAAAACTTTCATCTCTTTCAGTTATGGATTTGAAGGAAAAATGTCATTGCGTATGGACAGAGTCATAGACAGGATCATTGTATAACGTAGCCAGTCTAACTGTTAGATTTTAGGGGTTTAGAATTTACTGGAATTTTTGATTTCTTTGTTTTGTATATAAATGTAATATAGGTTTGAGCAGTTCAGACTTTACACAACTCAAATAGAAATGGAAATTTCTAACCACAGATTTAATTATCTGTATTGTATTATGAATATCCAACTCTGTTGAGAAAGGACATTTGACTCTGCAATGTGGAAGTTATTAGCAAACACTTAAGAGAAACCACAAAACTTCATGTATTTACCTGGAGTAAGTCTGCAACATCTGCTTAAACCCTTCTGAGTCTATGCTGTAAAGAACACAAGTCAACTTGTTGGTCATTCCTCTGAACTTGAAGCCAGATGAGCAAATCCAAGCAATTTCATGGTACAATCACTCTGATCATTTCAGTATGGTTGCTGTTTTTTTTTTCTTTCTTTTTCTTTTTTTTTTYCAGAGGACATGATTTCTGGAAAAGTATTGGACAGCACTTGCAACATTTTCCCCTCTTACAAAGATTAGGTTGTGTGAGTTGCAGAGCTCTGAAACAAATGTTCTTATTTCTCTAATTATTTTTTATCTGTTTAATAGATTACATTCCCAGACCTTGTAGTTCAGTGTAATGTAGTTAGCACTGCTAGCCGCTTTCTTCCTGACCTGAAATTGCCCATTTTGTATTCTTGCTCAACAAAGCAAGTTTATAAGGATACTTGGTTTTTTTATCATATATTATTTTAATCACAGCTAAGGGTGTACAAAGAACTCAGGTGGAACCAGATGTGCTCAGCTGAGAGTCTTGGCAGATGAGTGAAGAGAGATTATTTGCCTCAACTGTTACTACTATTAGAAATTTTTAAAGTCATTCGGCATAGTCTTGGTGTACCACCGCAGCAAAAAGACACAGGCAGATACAAATGCATGACTGTATCTATACAAAATCATGAATATTGATTGCAGCCTGCAAAACAATAGGTCCCAATCTTAGGTACCTCACAATCCAAAAATGACACAAAGTGGTAAGTGATGACAGTAGGCAAAAGTGTTTGACAGGAATGGAAAAGAAACATTACAGGAGAACATGCATAGTTTCAGATGTCTTGTTGGTTCTCTATCACTTCTTTTATCCTTATATCTTGTTTTGGGACAATTAGATTTGCTTATCCTGCAGACAGGATTTAATTAATTCTGTGTCATTTTGGAAATAATCACATACTTCCAGGTATCCGTAAACAACTTTCTGTTTTGAAATGAGGTGGGCAGAGTGCTTCTTGAAGTGTGAATATGAATGGATAAAAACTATATTCTTAATGGGAGTTTTTAAATCTTATCCCAGAATCTAATTTTAGAACTTGATCAAGATTTCTGAAATGGATGAAGCCAAATTAGAAGTTTATTAGCTTAAAAAAGCCCAAAAGTTTGAAATTCCTTCTTCCCAGTTCTCTACTTTTGCAGTAAAAGTGGGAAAAAAACATATTTTTTTCAAGAAGGAAGAATTGAAAGAGGAAAA